GCCGCCTCGTTCTCCTCCAGTGCTGTACGTAGACAACAAGGCTATGCTGGCCTTGTGTCGAGAGCAGCGCTTGGAGCACAGAACGAAGCACATTGCTCTCCGCTACTTCCTTGCTCGTGAGTTGCAGCAGCGTGGTCAGTTGCGACTTGCGTACGTGGCCTCTGAGGCCAACACTGCTGATGTGTTCACCAAGGCACTTGCGCCTTGTGACCATCAGCGCTTCTGCACCCAGCTGGGTCTTGTGCCTGTCTTGCCTCACTTGCTCTCCTCTTGACTTTACTTGTACTGTGACATATATATATACCTGCTCTTGCTTGTCTAGTTTTATATATATATGTCTGTACTCTTGCTTGTGAACTGGCCTTTGGCCTTGCTCTTGTGCTCGGATTGTGTGGTGACTTTGTGATCCACCCTGAGCTTTGCTTTGTCTTGCGTGACTGGTCTTGTGACCCCTTGTTCTCCCCCAATTTGCCTATGGGGGTGTGTCAGAACATGTCTATAGCTTATACTGCTGTGTAGGCTGTAGTGGGGTATCCCATAGGGGGTACAACCCAGTTAGGGTTTCACATTTGTACTGCTTTCATTCATAGTTAACCTCATTCCTGCTTACTCATTTCACAAAATCTTCATTGACGGAGGGGCAAGTCACAGCTTAGTTAATACTGCAACCGCACGGAGATTACAGTTAATACTTAACCGATGTTTACCTGAGATAGATGCACGCTTAGTCGACGGCACGCCATTGGCCATACGAGAAAAAGTGGAGCGAGTAAAAGTCCGCTGCGGGGGAAACTTCGGGTTTACACAGGAAATGCTCGCAACGACGCTGGATGGGCACGACATTTTACTGGGACGTGATTGGCTGCGACGGTACAACCCACGGATCGACTGGACGACGGGGAGCTGCACAGTGCGAAGTAGCGGTAACTGGGTCGTCCTACCTCGCTGGCGGCCACCCGAATCTTCGACAGTCCAGGTCAACGCTATCACGATGAAACGGGCTGTCGCTGCTGGAGCCGACGTGTACGCAGTAGATATCGCAGTGGTAGAAAAAGACGAGCAGCAGAATGATTTAAAGAAACTGCTAGCAGCCGTACCGACCGAATTACAGACACTACTGAAACGGTTCCCGGGGATATTTCCGGATGATTTACCACAGGGACTGCCACCTCAGCGAGCGCACGACCACAGGATCGAGCTAGAACCGGGGGCACAGCCAACAGTACAGCGGCAATTTCGACTGACACAGCCCGAGCTCGACGAGTTAAGGAAGCAGTTAGATTACCTGTTAGAGAAGCAGTTTATTCGACCAAGCTCGTCACCGTTCGCCGCACCCATACTGTTCACACCGAAAAAAGACGGAGGTTTTCGCATGTGCATCGACTACCGAGCGCTTAACCGAGTAACAGTCAAATCGCGATACCCCATCCCCCGCGCCGACGAACTGATTGACCAACTGCGAACAGCACGTGTCTTTTCGAAAATAGATTTACGGGGAGGTTACCATCAGATTCGGGTCGAACCATCGGACTGCGCAAAAACAGCATTTAGGACTAGGTACGGGTCATTCGAGTATACAGTAATGCCTTTCGGGTTGACGAACGCGCCTGCGACCTTTCAGATGACCATGAACGAGGCGTTTAGACCACTTTTAGATAAATGCGTGATCGTTTACCTCGACGATATCCTCGTTTACAGTCGGGATAAGCAGCAACACTTAGCAGATCTTGATGTGAAAATATTAGGTGTGGGGCCTAGGCTTAGTAGCCTAGGCCCACACTAGGACATAGGTAAGTTCGAGTGGGTTAGGTGAGAGTCGAGAAATTGCAAGGGAAGTGAAGTGACTAGCAAGAGTTGGGATACAAGTACATTGCCCTAAATTGGGTTGTACTCATTACAGAGTACCCCACTGCAGGCTAGACAGCAAATATATTCTGACACTTGAAGCAGTTTTTAAGGTTTTAGAGGAACATCGGCTGCTCACCAAGGGCTCCAAGTGCGAGTTTTTTAGGGATAGGCTAGAGTTTTTAGGTCACGTCATTTCCGAGGCTGGGGTTGAGATCGACCCAAAGAAGCTGGATACGGTAAAAGCGTGGCGCCCCCCGACAAACATCACGGAACTGCAGAGTTTTTTAGGGTTTGTTAATTACGTTCGACGGTTCGTGCCCGACATGGCACGTTTAACAGCCCCACTAACTGATTTACTGCGTAAGGGGGTCGCTTTTACGTGGGGGGAGAAAGAGCATGCTGCCTTCTCTGCCCTAAAAAACGTCCTTTGTTCACCACCCGTTCTACGTATCGCTGATCCCCACCGCCCTTTCGAAGTGGTTACCGACGCAAGTGACATCGCCATCGGAGCTGTACTGTTACAAGACTTCGGCAACGGCCTCCAACCCATCGCCTACGAATCACGCAAACTACATCCGCCTGAGCGAAATTACCCGATACACGACCGCGAAATGCTCGCGATCGTGCATGCATTCAAAGTTTGGCGCTGCTACTTGACTGGCGCAGACGTGACAGTACGGACAGACCACCGATCTCTACAGTACCTCCGCGCACAGCCCCACCTCAACCCACGACAGATTCGATGGTTCGATTTCCTCGAGTCGAATTTTCACTATACGGTCACATACAAAAAAGGAGCATCGAATATCGCCGACGCACTGACCCGCCCCACTGCCCAGATCCACGCGATACTACTCGCCCAGACCAGCCCACTGCTTACCGGCCTATTTACCCACGGATATCAAACAGACTCGTTCTTTACAGGAGGCAACTCACAGCAATTCGCAGCGGCAAAAGGAGTCTATTACGTAAAAACTGGAACCGACCGCATCTGGGTACCGGGATACACGCTACTGCGGGAACTACTGTTACAGGAAGCACACGACGGAGTTACCTCGGGACATTTCGGGGTAGAAAAAACACGGCAGCAGCTGCAGCGGTACTACTACTGGCCAGAAATGTTGACCGATGTGCAACGACACGTGGCATCGTGTCCCACTTGCCAGCTCATGAAGTCAAGCAGGAAGCGACCAGCGGGGCAATTACAACCCATCCCGCCTCCAGAGCGTGCTTGGCAGCAGGTGACGATGGACTTCGTCACGGGGTTACCAGCTGGGGCGAGTGGAAATGACGCGATCGTGGTCGTCGTCGATCGACTAACGAAAATGGCTCATTTCGCAGCATGCAGGAAATCCATCACAGCCGAAGAAACCGCCCGACTATTCATCTCTACCGTCGTACGACTGCACGGGATACCCGCGCCGATCATCAGCGACAGGGACACGAAATTTACCAGCAACTTCTGGCGGAACCTGTGGCAGCAGTTCGGCACGCGCTTACAGTTCAGTTCATCCTATCACCCCGAAACCGACGGACAGACGGAACGGACAAATCAGACCATGGAGCAACTGATTCGAGCCACGTGCGACGACCCGAATACGTGGGAACAGCAGCTGCCACTTATCGAGTTCGCATACAATAACGCACCATCAGCCACGACGCAACAGTCGCCGTTTTATTTGAATTACGGACAGGACCCAACAGTACCCATGACACCGAATCCCGACAACCCAGTCCCACGAGCACAACAGTTCGCCGAGATTCTGCAAGCAGCACGGACCAGGGCAGCAGAAGCAATCAAAAAATCAAACATCATCGCTAAACGTAACGCCGATCGACATCGCAGACCCGTTACTTATCCGCCCGACGACCTCGTATTACTCGACACTCAAAATCTTCGCCTGCCCATCACTCCAAAACTTCGCCCCCGGTATTGTGGGCCATTCCGCATCAGCCACATGATCACACCCGTCACCGCCCACCTCCTCCTCCCTGCTGACTGGTACGTCAGCCCGTCATTCCACGTCAGCCTACTTCGCCCTTACATCCCATCCACGAGCCAACTGCCACGAAATCGACCAGCCAGCATGACACGTCCCCCAACCGAACCACTCATCACCCCTGAAAAAATCCTCAGCCACCGAGTCCGCGACCCTCGGGGAGCCCGAAGGATAGAGTTCCTAATTCGCTGGAAGGACCGAACACCCACAGAAGACAACTGGGTCCCCCTGGATAAAATTGAGAACCACCCTGTCTTCCCCGAGTATCTGCGAAGCCGAAATTTCCGCGACGTCCATGCGCTCTCGTAAGAGGGGCCTCCTTGGGGAGGAGGGTAGTGTAAGGAAATTCCCTTTTCCTTACTTCGCGTCCCTGCTCAACGCGTACGTCACTGTAGCACCTCAGTCAGCACCGTTACCACTCACGACCATCGCATCATTCATTATCCCGCCCTCTTCGCACATCGCATCCCAACCTCACGGCTCGGTTGGTAACCCGCGCTCCGGGCCTACGCTTCGACACTTTCCCAACCTCAGCCCCAGGCTCGTCGCGCGACAACCACAGTCCATTACCGTTACCACTATTGTTTCGCTATATAATCCTTCGCTCATGCCTTCGCTCATTGTCCTCTTTGCTTCGATAGTGCAATTCTCGTTCGTTCACTCAATTGCACTCGTAACACCGTACGTACATAGCTTTTTGGTGTCAATGAATAGAAAATGTATTTCAAAGCAGCTTTGGAAATTGTGCAGTGTAAATCTGAAACAGGCAGTAACAAAAAGGAACTCCCAAACACGAGTTGATTGAAAGCACTGCAAGCAGAAATAAAAAGCAGTGGTCACGTGGGCAGTTAGGCAAGGATATTCACCACCACAGTGCTGCCACCACAATCAGAAGCACCAACCAGCAGCACACCTGCCTGGCAGGCACTGCCAGCAATAGCTATCTACAGCAGGCAACCACCAGCTTCCAGCCTCTCACAACGCAACACTGCATCCCACCACCACCCAGTCACGGCTTGCCCTTGCCCTTGCCTTTGCGCCCCTTGCCAGCAGCAGCAGCAGCAGCAGCCCCAGACAGGTGTTTGGGGTCTAACTGGTCCAGACCAGAGGCGTGCTGGCGAGCAGAAAGAGCCACACTGCCCTCTCTCCCAGTCACAGCTTGCCCTTGCTCTTGCGGCCTTTACCACCAGCAGCAGCCCCAGCAAGGTGTTTGGGGTCTAACTGGTCCACAGGCGTGCTGGCGAGCAGGAAGAGCCGCGCTGCCCTCTCGCTCAGGGTGCCACCACACTTGAGCCCCCTCTGCTGCAGCTCCTGCTTCAGCCGCTCCAACCCCAACGACTGGCGCATGGCGAGAAGACACAGAGTGGGGGGAGGGGAGGTGGAGGGAGGGAAGGTGGGAGGCAGGAGGGTGAACACTATGGGCGTGAAGAGACGAAAGAAAATGGGTGGGGCAGTGTACAGGGAAGGGAAGCGAAGGGGGGGGAAGGGGCTGGGTAAGAATGAGACAGGCATGGCATGGGGGTGGTAAGGCAGAAGCACACGTGGACCTCACAGGCTGCTTCAGCACTCACCTCCAGGTCAGTGGCAGAGTGGACCAGTGAGAGGTCGATGTGCCCCTCTGCTGCTGCTGCTGCTGCTGTCTGCTGTGTCTGCGGCGGCGGCGGCGGCGGCGGCTGCTGCTGTTGCTGGTGTTGTTGGGACTCCTGCTTCTGCTGCTGCTGCTGCTCTTGCACTTTTTGCTGCTGCTGCACCAGCTGCGGCTGTGCCTGCGGCTCGTGATGGTGGAGTGCCGAGGAGTGGGCGGAGGGCGAGCGACTTGCATGGCAAGCTTCATCGCGCTCCTCATCAGACGAGGACGAGTGCAGCGGTGCCACTGCCTTGCCCGCACTGCCCGCACTGCCTGCACTCCCTGCACCCCCACTCCCCTCGCTCCCCTCCTTCGAACCACTCCCACTCCCCTCCTCCCCTCCCTTTTCTGTGCCCTCCTCTCCCTCCTCATGCTCCTCGTCTTCCTCCTCTTCGTCCTCCTCCTCTTCGTCCTCCTCCTCTTCGTCCTCTTCCTCTTCCCCTTCCTCCTCATCCTCCTCCTCGTCGTCCTCCCCCTCCTCAATATCCTCCAGCATGCCTCTGCAATGCAGGGACAGGGGCAGGGACAGGGGCAGGGACACGAACACGAACACGTGGAAAATTGAGTTACACGCATGGGCATGTGAGAGCGCATGGAATGACACACGTGCACGCACAGGAGATCGCAACGGACAAACCACCAAGGCACACGGAAGAGGAGAGCGGGGTTAGCAGGAGTGGAGTTCCAAACTCAGCCCCATATCCTTCCATTCACACCCCCCTCCCCCTCCCTCCAGCCTTTTTTTCCTTGTAAACACCTATCCAACCCCCCATCTCCTGTTCCCCCCCGCATTCCCTCCCCACTCCATTCCCCCAGTCAAGAAACGTACAGAAGTTTCCCTCGCTTCGCCTGCTGCGCCCGCTCCGCCTCCTCCTCCCCCTCCTCCTCCGCGCTCAGCTTCCGCTTCCCCTTATCCAGACCGTGCCGCTCCATACCGCTCTTCACCGCATCAGCGACTCTCGCCATGGCGGCGTGGCTGGCCTTGCGCACCGCGCCCAGATCGACCACCTCCTCGCGCCGCTTCTTCTTCTCCTTCGCGAGTCTCTTCAAATAATCCTGCGCCGTCTTTTCCAGTTGTCGTTCTCGCGCCTCGTGCCGCCAATCCTTCAGTTTACGCTCGGCGTTGACGTGCCGGAGCCGCCGACCACTCATATCGCGACACGCGTCGAAATTGCTCGTTTTCTTCTGCCCGGCTTTGGTGGCGGCGCCGCGCAGCAGCGACCCGAAGCCACCCTTTCCTCCGAGAACCCTCGCGATGACGTGGCACGAAGGGAAGAATCCTGCCGCGTCAGCAGAGAGGAGCGACGTGTCCGAGATCTCCCGCGTGCCGGTGACGACGCGGAACGAGTCGCATCCGTCGCACCCATCGCATGCATCGCAGCTGCCGTCACTTCTGTCGCTTAGAAGCGGCGGAAGAGCGCGCCGACTTCGCAACGCGGTCTTAAGGTCAGCACCGGAAATCACGGTTCTATCGGTGCGAAGCAGTGTAGTAGCGCCATCGAGACCTCGAACGAACACCTGAAACGTCATTCTCGTCCACCGAGCACCGGCTGTGTATAAGCGTATAGTGAGCGCGCACCGACCGCGTAACAACCGTGATTTTGTATACTGCGACCTCGTAAGCGCGTTCAAGAACGATAGTTGAGGCCGAGTCGCGAGGCACAGACAGACAGAACAAGCTTTCAGGCTTATAGTTCAAGAACAATGTTTGAGGCCGAGTGGAATGGATGGATGTGGCCGTTGGACTGTGGTTGCGCGAAAGCATAGAAGTCTGCGGGGCAAAGCAGTTGAAAGGAAAGAAGTTGAGGACGAGGAGCAAAGTGATGGGCAAGAATCCGCGGGGGGGAGAGTGGGGGAAATCTGTTGGCGGAATGGAGTGGTCGAGGAGGACAGGGAAGTGCCAGAGTCTGCTGGGTTGCGCTGGCCAATGGGGATGACTCGCTTTGAAACCCTAAAACAATGTTGTTTTAGGGCGTGTTACATCGCAGACGAAAACTACGCCAGGCGTAGAGCTTGGGTTCGGATTGAAGACGCGCAGAGTCCCACCTGACTGTCGCGAATCTGCCCTGGTTTCGCCGTGACAAACCCACAGTGCTGGAATTCCGCCACATATCATGGCTGGTCGCCCAGCGGGATGAGTCGCCCTCGCGAACTGGCGAATTTATTGTTCGACCAGTGCCCTGTTCGAGGCAACATTACACGCCCTTAGAAGCCGCACAATGGGGAGAAATCCGTAAAACGGCAGAGTTTGCAGGGTCAATTATTTGAAGCACAAAAGTAGCAATGGCGTCCACAGGAGCCGGCCAACAAGTAGTGAAGGCAGTTGCTGAGTTAGCTCAGCGATTACGACCGTCATTCGTTAATGGGAAGTGGCGCGGTGCAGCAATTTCCGCGAAGAACCGCGCACGGTTGCGACGAGAGACTTTACTGTCTGGCGAGTGAGTTCTTCTAGGCTATCTCGGTTCAGAACAAAAGTACAACAGATCAGAAACCGTTTGAGCTGTGATTTACCTAGGTCGTCGATTATGATTTAGCGTCACTCGTATCTTGCAATGGCTTCCTGTCGTGCGACCGCGGTGGGAGCAGCTGTTATGTTGGCGCGTTCCTTGATGAACGGACGCCATTGTTCTCGTTTTTGTTCGTCTTCGATCGTCGAGGTAATGCCTAATCGCGCTTTCTAGAGATATCGAGGCCGGATTTTCTGAGATTCGCCACTTCCTGCTGCCTCGTCATTCTCTCATTGCTTGAGTCCCATCTCGTCTGTGGTCGTGTGATGGTGTGAGATGCGTGCATGTGTGTTGTCCTTCTTGTGGGAGGGGTTCTGTGGTATTTGTAGCTGGAGCGGTGTGGAAAGGGGGGCTTGAGAGGGCGTGCCGATTTTCATGATATGTCTGTCTGCATGTGTTGGGGGGGGAGGGGGGGGGAGAAATGTGTGCCTGAACATTTTGTCTGCATGCGTGTGTTGGAGTGGCAGGGAGTGGCCTTATGACGCTCCTCGGAAGGAGATGAAGACCAAGATAAAGGGTCACAAGCACGATAAGGAGGCTGCAGTGAGGTTAGCCTGCGATTCTTAAAATTTGGTTCGCTAGTGAGTGTTGGTTTGCTATGGAAGAAGCCCACGTTCAGCCCACTTTCGCACCCCAGGTTGCAGCCAAGTTTGCGCTTGGTGATCTCTGTTCTGGGCTCAATCATCATTATACTCCTCTATGTCTTGGTATGCAGGCAAGAAAAAATTGCAGAGAATATGGCCAAAATGCCCGAATTGCTTGAGCAAATGAAGGTATGAGAGAAATGTGTCTGAACATAAGTGCAATGCTGGTTGCTGTTCATTTTGTGCTTACTTTTGGGTGCCTGTCCACTTTTTCGCAGAAACGGCAAATAGAGGCTAAAAAAAAGTCTCCAAAGAAGCAGTAAACGGATAGGAGGTAAGAATTGGATTCATTTGCTCAATAACACTGTCAAGACAGCATCGTTATGCTGAGTGTATCTGTCAAATTTGAGATGAAAACTCTGCAAGATGGGCACATGATGTTAGGAGAAGGTTGGCATCTGATGTGTTCTTGTTGCCAACTCTACACATGGTGCTTGTACTCCTGCTCAGTCCCTTCGACTGGCCCCTTTGTTACTGTGATTATTCCAGTCCGGTCTGATTTTAACATGTGTGCATCTTCTTCATCTTCAAAAACCTTAAGCATCCACTTCCCTTTTCCTCTGTTTTTGAATTTGACATGGCATCGCAGGTTTCAATATTTCAGGGTATACTCGAACATCACAGCATAGCATGTCATCCCAAGATCGCCGAATAAGAATAATGCATCCAGATCAGATTGCCGCAGACATGGACTTCCTTCCGGGCATAACCATTGCTGCTGCTTCTGGTGGTTTGTAGGTTGTTCCCATTATTATGTACCTGCATTGAATGGTATACAGGTTAGTTTATGATCTCATGGAAAGTAATGTCAAAACAGTATACCTGTAAATGACAGCTGCTAGTGCTGATCCCAGGCTGGGTGCAACCCAGTACACCCAGTGTTCTTGTGGCCAGATTCCTGATACAACAGCTGGCCCAAAGCTTCTGGCAGGATTCATGGATGCACCTGTAAATGGTACTCCCACCAAGTGATCGACTACCACCACAAGACCTATCGGTATAGGTGCAATAACACCTGTTGGACAAGCAAGCAGACATCAGGTGTGACGTGGCAAACGGCACCGCATGTGATACAAGAATCAGGATACGGTACTTGCCTGGTCCTCTTCGGTCCACAGCGACACCAAAGATAACATATACCAGAGTAAAGGTTAGCATCAGTTCCATCAGAAAAGCATTGCCAACGGAAGTTCCGTGGCCAAGACTGTGACTGCCCAAGTGACCTAAATCTGCTGCAGGGGTGGACGCCCCCAACAAGGCAGCTCCGCAGATTCCCCCAACCAACTGCAGATGACAACAATACCTATGTCAGTTATGGATGCTGCTAACTTGCTCGTGAACAGTAGGGGCTGCAGAATGTTGCACCTGAGCAACGATGTATAGAGAGCCCCTTATGATGTTCTCCTTTCCAGCAACTACGAAGGCAAGGGTAACTACTGGGTTGATATGGCCTCCAGAGATTGCACCGGTGCTTGCCACGAGAAAGGTTATAGCCAAACCATGACCCAGCGCGATCACAGTGAGCCTTGCAGATGACAGCTCCGTCTCAAGGACCCCTGAGAATACACGCCGGCTTGGATGACTTGAAGTGTGTGGTACAGCTTAGACGAGCGTAGAAGAACATTCACCTGATGCTACGACAGAGCCACAACCCAAATAAACGAAAAGAAGGGTGGCGAGAAACTCAACGCCGATGGAACGCCATTGTTCTTTGGACTTTAAGGACTTGTACTCGCCAAGCTCAACCTGTAAGCCGCCTTTAGGTTAAAATCTGGGACTGAAAGTGGATTCCAATGCTCCACAGTTAAAAATCCTCAGCCGCAAACCTTCATGAAATTAAGCATTGTGACCAGTCGAACAGCGCCTTCGACCATTGTGTGTAATCCACCGTTCTCGTCATGGCCAGGGTCGTGCTGGAGAATGGGCTTTCGGCCAAGTTCCTCATGGTTATCGCGTTCGCCGGCCATCTCCATGTCAGACTGTAATAAGGTTGCATAGAATTAAATTGCTGTCAGGGAAATCTAGACATCGATTGAGCCCCAAACGTATAACTCACCATCATGTTCCAGCAGATCACCTTCCAATATTCGAGACAACTGCACTAACAGATTCACGAAATGGAGCTGGGATTCAAAATCTGGTGGAGTTTGGCGTTGCTCTGCAGGCGTTTAGGGTTCCGCACCAATTGACCGCGGTAGCCTTCCGTGCATTTTCTAGGCGCATTCATGCTGGTTGCGTTGCGCGGATGTTGCTGCCTCGCATAACATGTGCGGAGGCTGACGCTAGCTCCCGAGGTAGAATTAGCACCGCACTAGTTGTGCGACCTCGGCGAAGCAACAACTTCGAGCCTGCAGACGGTTAAATTCGTGCGCCCCAAAAGTGGCGTTCTGCAGGCTGATGCGTTAAATTTGGCGCAGACAGGTTCGGCAGGAACTCTCTTATCACCAAACCTTGATAGGCAGAAGACCACTTATCAACGAAGATTCTGCGGACCCAGTTTTTGGAAATTTAACGCCTACAAAACAGCGCCGAAGGCGGTCTTTTGGGGACGGGGATTCCACTGATCCGTCGCTTGAATCGCTTTACAAAATATTCCACCCAACCCAACCTTCAGTTTTCGCCAACGTCGTTCAGCTCGCAATGTTCTTGCTTCACTTCGTGTGGCGAAGACGTTTCGGTGGTGAACCAAGTGGGCGAAAAGCCGAAGACACCTCATCAAGCCACGAGAAAGTGCTGTTGAGAAATCGAAGTTCCTGCCACGTGCTAAATTCTCAATCGAGGACGATCGATTCCGCGTCGCAAAGGAATGTCGTCCGTCGCATTTCGCCATCCTCTACATTCCCAAGAGGTCATAGGCAACACATTTCAGCTGACAAGTCTTTTTGTTGAACGTTCACACCACAGCAATGGCTCCTTCACCCTGCTCGCATATAAGCTCATCAGCTCGGCCAATGCATCCCAGACGGACTAAGCGCCGTTTCATTGCGCGATCTTATCAAACCCTCTTCTTACCTTATTCTCATGGGTCACACTGTAACTCTCTCGCAATCGAGTTCAAGTCCGCAGGTCTTGACCGACTCTGCCTGCTTCACGCTGACCGACAAACCAGCACTTCGTCCCGTCCACTCAGTTCCTCCTGACAAGGAAAAGAAACCTGTTCATGAATTTGACAGTCTTCTCTATTCGCCGCTTGACATTCGTTGCAATGACGCTAAAAGTGCTGCTTCTCTTTCGAAAAGGCGTCCAGGACTGCAAGCAACAAATTCCTTGAATCAAGACAGCCTGTGCATAGTGTCTGAGGACCTCACCGTGGATCACGAGGGTTTGAATTCGATTCCTTATTCCGAGGTGCGAATCTCGAAGACAATAGTGGAATCGCCAGATCCGTCAACCCAGTATGAAGAGGGCGAGTATCTGTCGTCCGATCAAGGTGGCGACCCTCACTGCGACACTCAAGACGGCGGGTGCTTCTTGAGCGACCTTGCAAATGGCGAGTTACGGCTGCTTCGAAAAGACGAGCGGTGGGAAGAGGGGTCCTTGACGAGCGCGCCACACGCTGCAGAGGAGAAGAAGAGGCGGCGCAGGAAGAAGAAAGGCCGGAAGTCGCGGACGCTGCTTCTAGTGTCCAACTCAAGGATCCGGTCTCCGGGGCAAAGCCACTCGAATCATGGACACGAGACAAGCATGGGAGGATCAGCTTGGGAACAACAGCATGGCCAAGGTGTGCGACAGGGAGCTCATGGCCCTCGGTACTTCGCTAGAGACGGCAACCAGCAGCAGCACCAGCAGCGGCAGCCAGCAGTGTACACGCCGAAGCACTCCCCCACTCGTGCGTACTCTCACAGGCTTCCAACCAGCACGGATGCTGCTGCCTGGGCGCTCTGCCATCACCCCTCTTCACCGCTCCGCAGCGCTCCCATAGGGGCCGTGGCTGCGGCTGTGGCTCAGGCTGCGAGTGCTGCAAGTGTTGTGAACGCTGCGAGTGCAGCAAGGATGCCAGGAGGAAGTCACGGCTTCTGGCCCATGAGACGTGACATGGTGGGCCCGTGGCACATGGGGCCTATGGGGTCCGTGGGATCTATGAGGTCCATCCCCACCATGCCCTTGCCCATGTCGCTTCAGCTTCCAGTGGCTGCTCTGCCTCCCATGACCTCCACACCGCCCATTGGATGCACCATGCAAGCATCGTCTGTGCCTGCACCGTTCCCAGCTGTTTTCCAGACGAATCCAGTGGCGGCTCATTCCTGGCCCACGAGCAGATGGCCTGCAGGCAACGGAACGAGGGGTAACATGGGAGTTAACGGCAGTGGGGACGCGGGTGTAGCAGACCGCATGAATGGTGATGCCGGTGGGGACGCAGTAGAGGAATGCTTGCAGGCCATGCAGGCCATGTCCATCGACCCATCCGATTCCTCTACTCGAGTTTCTCAGCCATCCAAGTGGAGCAGCTTGGCGGAAGGTGCAGCAGGCAGAGCTGATTACCAGTTGACTGGTGACTGCAGTAATTTCGCAGGGAGCGGCAGCATGCCATCTTCCTTGCACCTGCAGCGCCCCTCTTCTGACTATAGCTCCTTATCAGCCGCGCCCTCGGTGCCCCACCAGCAAGCAGTACGACATGTCCCAACCAATCAGCAGCAGCCGTCTTATTCCATGGACGCATACCCGCGTCTATCGCCTCCGTTCTTCTGGCATGAGGCTGTGTGGATGCCTGGTTTTGCTCTCTCCCACGGCTTCTTCCCTTCCGCTTCCACCAACACCAGAAGCAGTGGCGCAGCCAGCAGCAAGTGCGCCAGTAGCACGCCTTCCAATGGTGTGGCACACCCATTGGGTCCATTCCCTGGATCGCTTCCTGTCCCAGGCAATGGGGTTTTCAACTGGTCTATGTTACAGCAGCAGCACATGTACATGCAGCACCAGCAGCAACAGCTGCAGCAGCAGCAGAAAAAGCAGCAGCTGCAGCAACAACAGCAGCAGCAGGAGCAACAGGAGCAGCAGCTTCTCGTGAAACCTGTTCCACAGCGTGCAGAGCCCATAACCAAGGAGGGCAGCGCTGACAGAGGATGCCAGCAATGTGTACCAGGCACTGAAACCCCACAGCAGGAACACGACATGAAGACTGGGGATGTGAGAGAGAATGAGGAGAAGAGTGAAGGAAAAGCAAGTGATTATGAAGAAGCGTGTGGTACAACGGCAGGGAGTGAATTCAACAAGGGCGATGAAACAGACGACAGTGTAATTTCTCCAGACAGCCCGAAGGCGCATGACTGCTCCTCTTCTGCACATCCCTCGCAGCCCTCACGGCCCGCACAGCCTTCACATCGGCAGTCTCCTCTTCGGAGCAGAGCCCCGTCCCGCCTCAAGCCATGCGACTCTGTGCACGTGCATCTCTCTCTCTCCCTCCAGATCCCCTCCCCACGCGCCTCCTCCTGCCTCTTCAGGAAGCCTCCACGTGCCCGCAGATCCCCAGGCCTCAGAGTGCTGTCACCAGGCCTCAGTCCCCCGCAAAAGCAGCTGCTTGCAGGGGAAGCTGCACACAGCATGGGGCTCAAAAGCCCTTCTTCTCCCCACTGCGCCGCCACTTCCCCATGTCTGCGCTCCTGCCGCACTTCCTTCCCCCCGTGCGTCCCCCGCTGCAGCCCCACCTTTTCTTTCCTCCCGGATTCGCTGTCCCCGCTCCACTCCCCTCTGGTCCTCTCCCCCACTGTTGCCCTGCATGTCTCGCATCCCTCATCCCCAGTTGGCCCCTGTTCCCCCCGCTGCTGTTTGCAAGGCACCAGCCCAGCAAGGAAGAGAGAGAGTGTGAAGTGCAGCATGGGCAATGGTAGGGGTGGTGGAGAAGAGGATAGGCTAAAAGAGGCAGGCGGGTTGGAGAAGGAAGGAATTGCTCGCACTGGAGTGGGTGCAAATTGTGGGAGGGGGAAAGCTCTGAAACGGAGTCCACTTGGGATGTGAGCCTGGCGAAACCGAATAGCAATGCACGTTCTAGCTGAGGTGTCGATTCAGTATGATTTTGTATTCTGCACGTGCTTAGTATATGTATATTGTGAATGGGCCTGTCTATCAGAAGCACTCCGGACCCGAATGTTTTTTTGTACAAATATCGTTATCGTTCCTATGGTTGCAGAAATTTACTCAGCTTATCAGAGCTAAATCTGCTTTGAAGCGGCTATTACTGGAGATTCGCGTTCTGGCGGGAATAGACTGCTGATTTTCTGTTCTCCCTGGGCAGTTATCCAATCGCTGACAAGCCACTCTCTGCGGTGCAGGTTTCCCTGCACCAGCATGAGCAGTGTTCCACCATTTCTTCCAGGTGCTTCGCTGCGCGCTCACTTGCTCACTCACCTTGTCTGCCTGCCTGACCAAACCCTTGTGCTAAAACGGTGAGATGCGATCACACCTGATCAACATGCTGCCAGGGCCAGGAACCATTGCATCTAGTGGACGTCACATATTTTCTAGTGTGTTCGTCGAAGAGACGTTCAGTGCGAGTGGTCGTGTAATTAGCTGGCAATAACAGCGAGCCACGCGCATCGCTCGGCCAGTTTCGATCGCCCGTCGCGGCGGGCCATGGCACGGGATGATGCGATCGTGCCACAGCACGGCTCGGGATTCCCGCTCCCAGACTACATACCCATCCGACGAAGTAAGCCTCTAGTTCCCGGTAGGTGCGTTTGATCCACAATGCAGGCCATGCTCCTGCAGTCGCTGAAATTGTCTAGGTTCGTTGAATCCATTCAATGCAGTCCAGTGAGCAGTCCAGTGAGCAGTCGAGGAGGGCGTACCTTCGCGACGTTCCGTGGTTGTTCTCCTTGTCGATTCGCGAGTTGAAAATAGAAGGCATCGGGCACTGGATCACCTATGGGTGCATGAGAGGCATGGGTGGCGAGGCTGCGTCCTGTCGGCACGCGAGTCTGGCTCGGTTGACCACCCGTATTCTTTGTTGTCTGAAAACCTCCTGTTGTCCCGGACCATGCTTCCCTGCATTCTCCCCCCGCCATGTCTCACCTTCTGATTGACTGGAATAGGGCGATTGAGTGAAACCCACGTATAGGCTGGGGATTTATGTAGTGACAAGTTTTGGAACCCACTTACTGACCTAATTTCGCCATCGTTTTCATTCCGCTTTGCGCGATGAATTCGTGTAGTGGTTACGAGCTCCTTTGTCTGGCTGAAAGCGGCCTTCTGCCTGGATTTAACTGTGTGAGCATGAAAGCGGTGCATTCGCTTAACGGGATTCGCGACTCGACTGGGCGGCTAGCAGCAGAGACGCGCTGCGAGCGTCAGTCAGCCGCAGTCGCAGCGATTCTTCCCGCTCACGCGCCAACCCTTTCCCTCCCTCTCCCTCCGCAAATTCCAACCCTAGCCATGCATCCCACAGCCCTTCCGCAATGTCTTTCCAAATTCACTCTCTTTTCCGCCATCCTCCCTTCTTTCCGCCACCCCCCTCCCCCAACCCCCTCCCCCTGGCGCGCAGACGAGTATCTTGTGAAGCGGCCCGCCAAGCCGTCGGCAGCGGAGTCGGTGCAGTGCGAATGCCACAAGGGCGCGGGGGGGCGCGCGCGGGAGAGCATCACGGGCCGGGGGTGGAAGCGACTGGTGGTGGCGGAGGAGGAGGAGGAGGAGGATGAGGGTGAGGATGAGGGGGAAGAGGAGGGGAGTGATGATGGGAGCTCAGATGATGGCTTGGAAGGGGGAGATGGAGGAGAGGAGAGCGAGGAGGATGAGGAGGAGGAAGGGGAGGATTCAGAATCGGAGGAAGAGGAGGAGGTGGAGGAGGGGGAGGATGAGGAGGATGGGGAGTGGCAGGGAGGCAAGAGGAAGGCGAGTGCGGTGAAGATGAGCCAGCAAGGAAGGACGACCAAGGGGAAGACGAATGCGCAGGCGACGCACAACACCAAGACAGGGAGGAGGCGGAGGAGGAATATGTCCATCTGTGGCGAGGCATGCCTCTGCCGGTGTGTGACCATTGCCACTCCTGCACCTCCTTTCATGGCGCGTGCCTCTCTCCTCCCTCTGCACCATCAGCTCCCGCTCCCTGCACACATCCTCTTCCACTCTCATTATCTACTTTCCGTCTCTCTCTGCTCCTTCTCCAACCTTCCTCCCCCCCCACCCCTCACCCCCTCCGCCTCCCTGCGCCCCTCTCCGCCCTCTCTCCCCCCACAGCATGTTGCACGTGAGTTGCAGCAAGCACTGCGGGTGCGGGTCGTCGTGTCAGAACGCGCCCTTCCACCGCCGCCCCTCGCGCAAAGTCAAGCTCTGCAGGGTGCGTCGCGCTGCCCCCCCGCCTCCCCTCAACCGTCTCAGCACACCGCAACCCTGAACCATCACTGCTCGCTGCTCCGCATAGCCCACTCCGCTGTTGCTTGCCCCATGGCTGTCCATCTCCTCTCTGCTCACACATACCCCCCTGCCCCCAGCTCACCGTCCCTTCTTCTCCCCCGCATTATTCCCGCTTATCCCCCGCGTTTCCCCTTCATATGTCCTGCTTTTCCCGTTTTCGTATCAAGCAAATCCCCCCTTATCCCCATGCGTGTGCTCTGCTCACATCCCGCACCCCCCCCTGTGCGCAGACGGATAAGTGCGGGTGGGGCCTCAAGGCCAACGAGGACCTCCCTGCGGGATGCTACGTGATGGAGTATGTGGGGCAAGGTGAGAGTGCGGGGCAGCCATGTATTGTCACTCACATGGATGCATCCGTCACTGACTGGCAGCTCAACTGTGACCCCCTCACCCCTTCCCCTTGCATTCCTGCACTGCTCACCCCTTTCCCTGGGCCTGTTCGTGCACCCACCCCCATGTATCCATACGCCCTTTCCCCTGTACCCATGCGCCTCCTTCCCCCCCTCCTCCCCCCTGCCCCATGTTGCACGGAGCGGTGAGCAGTGATAGACGACGCCACGTGCGAGCAGCGCCTGTGGGACATGAAGGCTGCCGGGGAGACCGACTTCTACCTCTGCGAGGTTCACCCCTGCCGCCCCCTGCCGCCCCCTGCCGCCCCTGCCGCCCCTGCCACTCCTGCCGCCCCTATCACTCCTGCCGTCCGTGCCGCCCCTGCCACCCCTGCCACCCATTGCTGTGTGCTTCACTGCGATTCCATGCGCTTCGCCTCATTGCCTCGTCAATCAAGCACGGAGCACTGCTATCCCCATTCTTTCCATGCCATCTCGCCCCTCGAGGTCGTTTCGTTTCATCCTGCTGTTCCTCCCACTGCTCCCTGCGCCCTCTCCCATACGCCGCTTGCCCTGCGCCCTGTTCCCTGTGACCCGTGCTTATGGTGTGTGCGGCATGGATGGGAGCGCAGGTGAGCAGTGACATGATCATAGACGCGCGCTACAAGGGCAACCTCTCGCGCTTCATCAACCACTCCTGCAACCCCAACTGCGAACTGCAGAAGTGGTGAGCAACCGATGAGCAACTTATGAGTAACTGCTGACCCCAACTGCTGACCCCAACTGCTGACCCCAACTGCTGACCCCAACTGCTGACCCCAACTGCTGACCCCAACTGCTGGCCCCAACTGCTGACCCCAACTGCTGGCCCCAACTGCTGATCCCACCTGCGCTCCGAGTCCAGCTGATCCTTGGTGCTCTTCCATGAACTTTCATCCTGCATGTTTCTTTTGCCCATTTCTCTCTCTCTGCTTCTGTTGCTACTGCTGCTGCTGCTGCTGCTATCGTGGTGCACGAGCAGGCAGATGGATGGGGAGGTGCGCATAGGCGTGTGCACGCTGCGCGCAGTCAGCAAGGGGCAGTTCCTCACATACGACTACCAGTGAGCCTCTTTACAATGCCGAATCCCTCAGCTAGTCGTGACCTTAGGGTGACGCTTCGCTTCTCATGTGCTGGTGGCATGGCCTTGATGCTCGTTCTCTCTCTTCTCCACTGCGCTGACTGCAGTTTTTCCTTCCTGCTCTCTAAGCAAACAATTTTTCGCATTCGAACACTAGCTGCGCGCACACACTCTCAGAATGCGTCAGACCAGCAACCGCCGCTCTCGTGACTGCAATCACCATCTCCTCTGCCCCCTCTACCCCCCTATGCGCACCCCCGCCTTGCTGTGCCCATGCAGGTTCATAGGGTTCGAGCTACAGCCCAAGGAGTGCCACTGCGGGGAGCCCAACTGCCGCGGCCTCCTCGCCACGCGCACCATCTCCCCCTTCACCCTCCCCCTCCCCTTCCCCGCCCCCGCCCTCCCCGCGCTCCCCATTCCGCCCGCCTTGCCCGCCACCCCCCCGCATGCAGGGGGAACCGTTCCCCCTGGGGGCGCGCAGGGGAAGGGGAAGCGCGGAGGCAGAGGGGGAAAAGGGGACGGAATAAAAGGGGAAGGGAGGGGGAAGACTGTGGTGGATGTGTGTGGGGGAGTCGTAACAGGGGGCAGCGGGGCAGGCAGGGGCGGGGTGAGGGGAAGAGGACGGGGAAGAGGAGGTAGTATGGGGCAGCAAGGAGCAGTGGGCGTGGGGAGAGGAAGCGGGAGGGGAAGAGGGCGAGGCAGGTGGGAGGTGGGAGGAAGGGAGTGTGGAGAGAGGGGTGGTGGCAAGATGGGGAGAGGCAGGGGTGTTTCTGCAGGAGGTGCAGCAGTGCCGATTGCCTTGGGGAGAGGTGCAGCAGTGCCGATTGCCTTGGGGAGAGGTGCAGCAGTGCCGATTGCCTTGGGGAGAGGTGCAGAAGGGAGCAGCAGAGGCAGCGACAGAGGGAGAGGGAGAGGGAGAGGAAAAGTGTGGGTGAAGCGGCCGAAGAGGCGGCATCTGTCAGAGCTGCATGCGGACGGGCACACTCTGGTGAGCGCTGGTGGTGCGCTTGACACTGACCGAGACTTGGCTGATGTTTCTCGTGCCAGGGCTAAGAGTATGGCTCTAGAGGCGGATGAGGAGGAGGAGGAGGACGTGGAGGAGGAAGAGGAGGAGGAGGAGGAGGCAGATGAGGAGGAAGAGGAGGAGGATGAAGAGGAGGAGGAAGATGAGGAGGAAGAGGGAGAGGAAGAGGAAGAGGAAGAGGAGCAAGTGGAGGAAGAGGAAGAGGAAGAGGAAGAGGAAGAGGAAGAGGAGGAAGATCTGCAGGAGCGCGGGGAAGAGATATCTGGGGAGGGGCGTCGTGGGAGCAGGCGCCTCATTCCGGGGCCGGGGTGGGCCCCGGTGCCCCTGCTGCGCGGCACCAGGCGCAAGCGCCAGGCACGAGGAGTGCGAGGGGGCATGCGCAGTGATGTGCGCGGTAGCACTGCTGGCGCTGTTGCTGGGGGCAGCACCGCTGCTGGGGCCACCGGTGGGGAGGGCGGCGAGGGGGAGGGAGGTGGCAGGAGGGCGCAGGAGGGATCGTGTGTGACGTCAGTGGCTGCGGCTGGGGGGCGTGCTGCTGTGGCGGTGGGTGGCTGCGCTGGCGGGCAGGGGGACGTGGGCGTGGGCGTGGGTATGGGTATGGGTATGGGTATGGGCAGGGAGTGGGTCTCTTGCTGTCCTGCCTCTCACTGCCACCTCTGTGCTGCTGCTGCGGTTGCTGCTGCTGGTGGTGGCTTCAAAGTACCTGCTGGGCCTTGTTTGGCTGCTGCTAGTGCCGGCCCTGATTCTGCTGTTGCAGCTGCTGCTGCCGTGGGAAGAGGAGCAGTGGGATATAGTGGGAGCAGACAGACGGAAGTAGGGGGGCCTCAGCTGGACCAGAGAATCAGGGGGCAGCCTGTAGAGAGGGTGTACTCGCGGAAGAGGCTAAAAATGGATGTGACTGTAAAGAAAGAGCCAGTGGGCGAGGAGCCACTGGCAGGTGTGAGGGTGTGTGCTGGTGAGGGCGAGAGGGGTGAAGGAGTGGTGAAGAGAGAGTGGGAGGAGGTGCAGAGAGTGGGGGTGGAGGTGAAGAGAGTGGGGGTGGAGGTGGGGAAAGGGGGCCTCATGCGTTATGGGAGGGAGTATAAGAGACGGAGGAAACGGATTCTGTCGGAGGGGTGTGACGCTGCAGAGGGGCTAGTGAGGGAGAGTTTCTGTGCAGCATGCGCATGCAGAGGCGCGGATGGTGCAGGGGGCGTGCACACAGGGGGCGTGCACACAGGGGGCGTGCACACAGGGGGCGTGCACACAGGGGCAAGGACTCCTGTGGTGATAGTGCATGAGCACATGTGGCGCATGGCTACGGATCAACGGCCAGGATTGCAGGGTGTGGCGGTGGAGGGAGCGGGACAGACGGTGCCAAGGAGCGGGTGGCAGAAGCAGGCTCTCTCTCTGCTCCCACCTGCCCCTCGTGGCCCCTCGTCGCCCCATGATGCATGCGGTGACATGCATACTCATACCAACACCAAATCCCCCATCCCTGCACAGGCTCATAACCATGCCCATGCCCCTGCCCCTGCCCCTGCCCATGCCCATGTCCACGCGCATGCACATCCGTGTGTGCACATCCCCGCAGCATGTGGTCTCACCTACCCTGCTACATGCATGCATCATCACACCCATACCCTCGCCCACGCCCACGCTCAAGTGCCGTGTCGCATGCATGCTGCTACTGCCATGCCCCCTGACCTCTGCTGTCCCCACCAAGTGGACCCACTGCACATGTGCGCACATGGCATGGCATGCCCAGTAGCAGCAGCACAGACGTGTGGCGAGGGAGTGGCGGCAGTGAGGGGTGTGACTCCAGATGATGTGCCTGAAAGGGGGTCCGCCACTGGCAATGGCGCGCTGGCAGTGGGTGCACACGTGGACACTGCTGGTTGCACTGATGTGACACGTCAGCAGGAAAGGGAAGGGGATGGGGGACGCTTGGGGGGAGAGGAGGGGAAGAGAGACGGAAAGAAGGGGATGTTTGAAGGTAGAGAATGGAAAGGGGAGAGAGGGAGGGGGGGAGGAGTGAGAAGGGGTAGAGGAGGGAGAGGAGGGAAGGGAGGGAGAGGAGGGAGACGAGATGGAAGAGGGAGCAAAGGCAGCGATGGGAGAGAGGATGTGGCCACAGGTGACCTCAAGGGGCTTGGCGTTGCTTCTGCTGCTGCTACTGCTGCTGCTACTGCTGGTGGTGACGCCAGTGCTGCTGCTGCATGTGGGCAGGGTAGGAGAGGGGGCATGTCTTGCGTTAGAGCAGCAGGGCCGGGCCGAGGGGGAAGTGGCAGCAGCAGACACGCAGCAGCTAGAGTGGTGGCAGCTGCAATGACTCGCGTGGCGAGGGGAGGGCGGGGAGGGCGAGGAGGGCGTGGAGGGCAGGCGGGTGTGGTGTGCGCAGGGAGGGGAGACGTGGCCATAGGAGGTAGCAGTGACGTGGAGACAGGGGACGATGGTGCTGGCACCAAGGGGGGAGGGAGGGGAGGGAGAGGAGGGCGGGGGAGGGGGCGGAGGGGCGGGGGCGCGTGGTGGGGCGGGGGTGGGGGGCGAGGGGGCGCGGAGGCGGAGGGGGTGCGGGATGCCATGCTGGAGCGGCTGAGCCAGGCGCTGGTGGGGCAGCGCGTGCAGCTCTGGTGGCCCCTGGAACAGAGGTGGGAGGGGGGGGGGGTGAGGAAGGGGTGACGAGAGATAGAGGAGGGAGAGTGCGGCGGATGGGTGGGCGGTTACCAGAGGTGGTGTGGTGAGGATAAGTCGTGGCCGATTGCTCCGTTGCCTCTTGCCGCCCTGGCTTCTTACCGCCCTTGCCTCATTGCTGCCTTAGCCAAGCGCCCGTTGCCCACGTCCCAAGTTGCGCTCGCTCGTGACACCCTGCCACCTCTTCCCTGTCTCTCTCCCCCGCACAGGTTCTTCGCAGGCACGGTTATGGGCTTTGACCCCGCCACCATGAAGCACCATGTGAGTTGCCCCTCCACCATGCATGTGAACCCACGCGTATGTCATGTCAGCATGCGGGGTAGCACCATGTGAGCAGCAGCATGTGAGCATCAGCATGTGAGCATCAGCATGTGAGCAGCAGCATGTGAGCAGCACCATGTGAGCATGTGAGGGCTAGTGCACGGAGCATCTGATGTGATGTGAATTTCTTCTGATGTGACTTAGAGTGGCATGAATGAACGGCAGCAGGTGAGTCTGCGCATGTTCCAATACCAGCTTACTCCACAATGACTGCATACAGCCAGCCCTCCTCTCCCCTGTCTTCCACCCGCACTCCTCTCCTCCTCTCCCCCGCCTCCCTTCCCCGCTTCCTCCCCCTGGTCCATACACTCACACTCTAAAGGCCTCACCAACCCTCCCTCCCCTCTTCTCCCCTTCCCCTCCCCCTTATCTCCTTCCCCTCTTCCCCCCTTCCTTCCCTCCCTTCCAACCCCCTCGCTCTGTCCCCTCCTCCCTTTCCTCTGTTCGCAGGTGCGGTACGACGATGGGGACGAGGAGCACGTGGTGCTGGGCCGCGAGCAGTGGCAGCTGGAGGCGCACCCACCGGGCAGAGCAGGCAGAGGCGCGCAGGGGGGAAGCAGCACGGGGAGAGGCACAGGGGAGGGCACTGGAGAGGGGGCAGGGGGCGATGGGGAGGGGGAAGGAGCAGGGGAGGAGGCAGGAGGGAGAGGCAGGGGGGTGAAGTGGGGTGTGGGGTCGGGCGGAGCTGCTCGTGCTGCTATGGGCAAGGGCAAGAGGCCTGCGGATGGTGCGCCCCTGCCGAGCCTGGCCGATGCGCCGAAGCTGTTTGGTTCAGCGCAGCGGCCAGGTTCGGGGCTGAGCCGGGCGGAGCAGGAGGCGCTAGCACGGCAGCAGGCGCTGGTGGGGCGAAGGGTGGAGGTGTGGTGGCCGCTGGAACAGAGGTGCGTGAAGAGGGGGGCTGGTGGAGGGCAGGTGGGGCAGGGCAGGAGAGGCGCTTGTGTGGGTGGGGAAGGGCAGCAGTGATGTGGGAGTGGGGCAAGGGAGGGGTGGTGTGAGGATGCGGAGGAGTGACGTGGGGATGGGGCAGGGTGCAAGTGGGGGAAAGATTAGGGCATGGGAGCACTGTGGGGAGTGGTGCAGACGGGAAGGGAGTAGTTGACACTGTTGTTTGTCTGGAACCACGCAGGTGGCTCTTCAACCATGCATCATGTCACCCACCCCCTCTCTTCCCATGCTCTCCTCTCATTTTACCCTTGTCTTTGATTGTCTCGTGCGGCACCTCGCCACCGGCATCACTGCTTCCCTTGACCCGCCCAAACCCCCTGCCATTCCACCTGTTGTGGTCTTGTGTCACTGTTCGCTTCCTCTCCTGATAATGCTCCGTCCCTCGTTGCCTGCCCTCCCTAGCAGGTTCTTCAAGGGGGTCATCGGCGGCTACGATGCTTCCACTCGCAAGCACAGGGTGCGTGCCACCTGCCATGTGCCACCCACGTGCCATGTGCCACCCACGTGCCATGTGCCACCCACGTGCCATGTGCCAGTGTTCTCGCAGTGGTCCCAACACGCCCAACAGGCCTGTTTTACTCCACTTGGTCTTGCCTCCATCTGCTGTTCCCTGTTCGTTTTGCAAGCCACCACTCAGGACCACCCTCGTTGATGCATGCACCACACGCCCTCATCTTCACAAAATCCACTCGCTTTCTTTCTCTCTGTTGCCCTCTGCATTTTTTAACGCCAGGCCAGCACATCGAATATCTCTTCCTCTTCTTCCCTCCATCTACCTCCCTCTCCCTCTCTCCCCCTCCCTTTCTCTCCCTCCCTTTCCCACTCCCTCCCTGATTCTCTCCATCTCCTCTGCAAGGTGGCATATGATGATGGTGACGTGGAGCACGTATCTTTGCGTGCGGAGCGGTGGCGCTTTGAGAGACAAACGGTGCCACCCACTGCCTGCTACTCGTTGCCCTTCTCCTGGCGATCCGAGGTAAAGCATGGGTGATGTGCAGTGGGAGAGGTGTGTGGTGTCTGTGTGGTGTGTGGGTGGTAAGTTTGATGAGTGGTGTGGTGGCTGTGATGTATGTCAGGTTTGTTTCTAATCTCTCGCTCTTCCCTCCCCGTCGCCACCACATTTCCTCTCCCTACCCCCAATGTCATCACTTGGCATGCTGCCTGCATCCCGTGCTCCCCTCTATCGCTTGCCCCCCTTTTTCAGCCCGCTCACCGTGCATGGTGGTACAGCACGACTCTAACACACTAGGACTCACGCTCCCTGCTTGCACTCACGCGCCTCCTCTCCCTTCCGCTCTCCCCCCCCCACCCTGTTCCCCCTCCCCCCTTCCCCCTCCTCCGTTCCCCATCGCCTGTCTCCCCTCCGGCTGTCCCTTCCCCCCCCCAGCCACTGACCCACCGTGCGGTGCGCGACCTGCAGGGCGAGCAGATCAGGATTTGGGCACCGCAACTCCACAGGTGGGCACAGGGAGGCGCAGGGGGGATCAGGGGAGCGGCGGGTTAGGGGAGGGAAGGTAGCTTGTGGTAGGCTCTTGTGGGGGGGGAATGGAAAGGGGGAAGTGCTGCCTGTGTGGGTGTGCCGCATGGGGCACTTGGAGGGGTGGCTGGTGGGGAGAGGGCAAGGGGGAGTGGGTGTGGCGTGGAGAGGATGGGTGATAGGTTGTTGAGAGTTGGGGTTGGGAAGGAGTGGGGAGGTGAGAGAGAGTGATCGGCAGGCAAAGGAGGGAAGCGTGGGTGAGATGGGTGGTGGGTCACACCACATACAACCATCCATGGTCACACCACATACAACCATCCATGGTCACACCACATACAACCATCCATGGTCACACCACATACAACCATCCATGGTCACACCACATACAACCATCCATGGTCACACCACATACAACCATCCATGGTCACACCACATACAACCATCCATGGTCACACCACATACAACCATCCATGGTCACACCACATACAACCATCCATGGTCACACCACATACAACCATCCATGGTCACACCACATACAACCATCCATGGTCACACCACATACAACCATCCATGGTCACACCACATACAACCATCCATGGTCACACCACATACAACCATCCATGGTCACACAGGTTTCACCTCAGCACCTTTTCTCTGCCCGTCTCTTTCCCCCTCCTTCCCATTCCCCCTCTCCCCACCTCTATCATGTGTGCGCTATCACCTGCCCTGCCTCCCACCCCACCCTCCCCTCCCCCCGGTCCTCCCCCTGGTGTGCGGGGGCAGGTTCCGCAACGGCACGGTGGTATCAGTGGCACACAGCAAGTTTACCATCGAGGTGCCCTCCTGCCCCATGCGCCTGCCCCATGCACCTGCCCCATGCATCCTGCTATCCATGCCACCCCATCCATGCCACGCCATCCGCCCCCCCTTCCCGTGCCATGCCATCCCCTTCCTGTGCCATGCCATCCCCTCCATTCTTTCCGAATCGTTTTAGTCCAAGGCTCCTCTCCGTGTGCCACTCTGCTGTCATGCCGCCGCCATGCTTTTCACACACCACTGCCATGCTCCTCCTTGTCACTGATGTTTCTCCCGTATCCCCCTCATTCCCCCTCCCCTGTGTGTATCTGCCCCCCCTGGCTGCGCCCCTACCCCCACCTGTTTCACTTGTGGTGCATGGCACATACACGCCTCTCCCCCAACCACACTTATCTCTCCCCGACACACATTTCCCCTGCCACACGTCTCCCCCCACACACACATGTCTCTTCCCCTGGCATGGAGCTGGTCAGTTTCTGTACGACGATGGGGAGATCGCAGTGCTGGACCTCTCACAGTGCCGCTGGGAGCTTGTAGACTCCGACTGACTCACTGCATCTACCACACACAGCCGTTAGATTGTATGCAAGTGAGAACGCTCACCCGCAGATATGTGCACTCCCATGCACATGCATAGTGGTGGCCCCTTGAAATCATTATTAATTTTTGTGTTCTCCCTAAAATGAGAGCTTATTGTATGGCCTGTATTGCTGCTATGTGTAAGGAATTTTCTCGACATTCCTTAGCGCGCCCTGCAACATCGCGTACAGCAGTAGCCGTTGTTCGCCCGTTACTGCTAACGGGGCTTCGCCAACTTCGCGCGCACTGTGTCACCAAACCTCGCACTGCCGGCCCGGCCGTGTCGGTCTACGCTTCGGGGTTAGCCGGAACCTCACTGCAAGCATAGCACTAGCCAGCTCGCACGCACCGCGTTACCGTTTGCATGTTTCGCGTATAAATGTTCGCTCATGCCTTCGCTCACATTTTGTACTCGGTTGACACCTTAGTGCAATCCTCGCTACCTCGATTCATTGCACCCGTAACACTTGGTATCAGAGCCTCTTTCTTTTCGAACCGCGCATCTCCGCACCCCAGGAGATCAACTTATGATTTTTCACTCGAAGGGACTCACGCACCTTAGCCCCTAGGAGCCGCTGTCCTCGCGTTCTCTCGTAAACGCGTGCAGCCACGACTGCGCCTAGACTAAACCGAGCCGACGCCCTTCGTCATGGCCGAGCACATCGACGTCACAACTCTCACGCAGGAGCACTTGAATGAACTGCTGTGGCAAATCCGTGAAAGCTCTGAAGAAATCGCGGCGTTGACGGCAGAACGCACGTCCCTGCAAAATGACATCGCAAGAGCATAGCAAGCACAATCTGAAGCACCTGGCACTCCGATACAACCTGCACCACAGACATCGCAACATTGAAGTGTGGGGCAACCCGCGAGCGCGGCTAGTGATGGCGTCGTCCACCACGACGGAGACGACGACCACGACACGACACACTCCGAAGCGACGAATGCGGCCAAAAGTCAGCCTCGAGTCACGATTTCCATGCCAGCCGGCGAATCAACACTGCCGTCGCCGATGCCGCTGAAGCCGCAACGTCCACCATGCTTCGACCCGAGTCAACGGGGTGGTCCTACCGTTCAGGCGTGGTTGTTCACGATTAACGTCTTCTTCGACGCCAACTACGTCTCGGAGGATACGGCGAAAATCCGTTACGCCGTGTCGTTGCTGCGAGGACCCGCCATGGATTGGTGGCGTGTCGTCGCCACGAAGCCGGTGGACTACGCGACTCTACCGACACGGGAAGGACAAACCGGACCCTGGGCGCCGTCGTATTTCGTGGAGGTGCCCCAATATCGCACGTGGGACGCGTGGTGCGCAGGTCTGCGCGCTCGGTTTGAGCCAGTTGCGGCTTCGATCGCGGCGCGACAGAAGCTCCGCACTTGGCGCCAACTCGGTTCTGTCCAGGACTACACGAGCGGGTTTCTGGCACTATGCGAGCAAGTGGGTTACATGCACGAGAGCGAGCGCATCGACCGCTACATCAGCGGCCTGAAGCAGGACATCGCTAAGGAAATCCAGATTTGCGGCGTCACCGACTTTCAAGAAATTCTTGCTATGGCGGAGAAACTTGACTTCTTCCACCGACCGAGACCGGGGTCCTACGGAAGCAGCAACTGGGGACATCGGTCTCGTGGGACGAACGAGGGCGCTACGATACGTGCCGTTGCCGCGAATGCCACTGCCGCACCGTTCAAAGGGCGCTGCTTTGCGTGCAATCGGCCGGGACACCGTAACAGCGAATGCCCGGAAAATGTTAAGGGAAAGGGGGAAGCTCAGCAGCAGAAACAGACCAAGCAGCAGGGAAACGCTAGGAGTCAGTAGCAGACGGGCCCTCTACTGACAGGTCACGCCGCTCGCCCGACCCAACCGACCCTCACCGAGTGATTGTGCCGGTTCACGCAATCGACCACACCCGGCCGAATAAGGAGGGTACTACGGTAGATAGCCCCATACTGCTTAGTGGGAAAATCGGTACCGACTTAGTTAAAATCTTCGTAGACGGGGGAGCCAGCCACGGCATTAACAACACTGCCACAGCACGGAAACTGAGACTGCCACTGGACAGATGCTTACCTGAGATCGACGCAAGACTGGTCGACAGCACGCCACTGGTGATACGGGAACGTGTGGACCGGGTTCGGATTTGATGCGGGGGTAACTTCACGTTTAGCCAGGAAATGCTCGCAACAACCCTCGACGGAATTGACATTTTACTCCGTCGTGATTGGCTGCGACGACACAATCCGCGAATCGACTAGACGACGGGTGACTGCACCGTGCGAGTGAACGGTAACAATATCGCTTTACCTCGCTGGGGCTCGCCTGAGTCTTCGTCGGTGCGTGTCAACGCGATCACGATGAAACGCGCCGTAGTGGCAGGAGCTGACGTGTACGCGGTTGACATTCGGGAAGTCGGGGCAGCAGACAAAGGGGGGGATTTACAGAAACCGCTAGCCGACGTACCGGATGATCTGGCTGTCAGAAACAAGAAGTGATTGAACTACACAACATTGCAGTACAAGTATGAAACCCTAGAGTTGTGTACCCCCTAAAGGCTAACCCACTATAGTCTACACACCCCCATAGGCAAAGTGGGGGAGAGCAAGGGGTCACAAGACCAGTCAAGAAAGGCAAACAAGCTCAGGGTGGATCACAACGTCACCACACACTCTGAGCACAAGCAAAGGGCCTCAGGGCCAGTTCACATGCAGAGGCATATATGCAACACAAATAAGAAGGTGATCTCAACCTAGCAAAGCAAACTGGCAGGTATATATATATAGAGATCAGAGTAGAGGCAAAGCCTACAGCAAGTGAGGAAAAGAGGGCACAAGCCCTAGCAAAGTGAAAAAACGCTGATGATCACCAGACTGAAGTGCCTTGGTGAATATATCAGCGGTGTTGGCCTGAGTGGCCACGTAACGCAGATGAAGCTGACCGCGCTGCTGCAGCTCTCGAGCCAAGAAGTAACGGAGAGCGATGTGCTTCATTCTGTGCTCCAATCTGTGCTCCTCACACAAGGCAATGGCAGCCTTGTTGTCGACGTACAGCACTGGAGGAGAACTAGGCCGCTCTTCCAAGTCGGTCAGCAGGTAGGTGAGCCAGCGTAGCTCCTGTGCAGCCATGGCCCCTGCGTAGATCTCAGCCTCACAACTGGAGCTGAGAACAGAAGACGAGCGAGAAGAACGCCAAGAAACTGAACCAGAGCCAAGGCTGAAGGTGTAACCCTGTGACGACCGCTGAGTAGCCTGGTCGTCAACCCAAGAAGCTTCTGAGTGCCTAGTGAGAACAACTGAGCTCCCTCCTCCAAGCACGAGCCCCATGCCCGATGTACTGCACAAGTAGCGCAATACCCTCTTTGCAGCATCCCAGTGCACCTTTCGGTGCCTGCCAGGAGCCACGTAGCGGGCCAGAAGGCCAAGAGGGTATGCTAGGTCAGGACGAGTGCAAGTCATCAGGTACATGAGGCAACCAACTAGCTCTGGGTAAGGACCACTCGGCTCTACGGACTCATCCGAAGGCAGAGCTGAGAGCGAGTGACCTATAGCCAGAGGAGTGGCCTATGCTGAGGACCAGGTGAAGCCGAAGCGCTGAAGGACCTGCTGCACCATGTGTGACTGAGTCAGTGTGATGGTGCGGCGTGCTCTGTCCCGGGTGATCTGCAAGCCAAGGTAGCTGCGCAGTTCACCCAGGTCTGTGCACGTGTGTCTCTTCTGCAGCTCCAACTTCACGTGGGCGAGAGCATCAGTGTCAACAGTGGCAACGACCAAGTCGTCGACGTACAGGAGGATGTAGAACGGCGGCAGCGAAGTGTCGGTGCGCAGAAACAGCGACGGGTCAGCAGTAGAGGGCGCGAACCCAAGTGCCGCAAGAGTAGTCCTCAGTGTGTCGTGCCACTCACGGGGCGCCTGGCGGAGACTGTAGACTGGTCGCCGGAGGCTCCACTGGGTACCAGGAGGAAACGACCGAGTGAAGCCAGGAGGGCGGCGCAGCCAGATCTCGTGCAGGCTGCCCTGCAAGAAAGCTGTGCTGAAGTCAAGAGAGTGAAGCTCGTAGTCACGCTGAGCAGCAACGTGCAGTAGCACCCGAAGAGTGGTCATCTTCGGGGTGGGGGAGAAGGTCTGAAAGAAGTCTACTCCCTCTCGCTGACTGAAGCCTCGAGCAACGTAACGAGCCTTGAAGACAGGCGGAGAACCCGGCGGCCGCTTCACCCTGAAAATCCACATGCCACTGACGATCTTCGCCCCAGGAGGGGGAACCTCGTCAACGTAAGTGCCAGTGGACTTCTAGGATGCCATCTCTGCATCCATGGCTGACTGCCACTGAGAGGAGTACTCACCCGCGATCGCCTCAGCGTAAGAGCGCGGGGTCGGGATGTCTGAAGCATCCGGGTCTCCCTCAGGGACAATCAGCATGGACACGAGATGAGGTGCAGCGGCTGCAAGACACTCAAGGTCCTCCTGTCTGTCCTCAAGGACGTCCGTGCCTAGATCACACTCACCCCCGACGGACGGAGGACAGACAGACTCAGACTCAACAACAAGACTGGCAGCGTAGTCTAGACGACAGTGAGAAGCAAAGTCGACAAGCTCAGCAACTAGGGCAGACGCAGCAGCAGACTCAAAGGAAGGGTCAGTGACAGCAGTGGCCAGGAGACGCGTGACAGTAGAACTAGCAGCACGAAGAGAGTCAGACTCCGGGTCAGCAAGGACAGGAAGAGAGGACTCAGGAGGAGACGGCAGAGGGACACGCTGCGGAGCAGTGGAAGGACGCAGAGTCATATAGTGTGTGCCAGGCACGGGTGGAGGACGCTCACACTTACCACGGCGACCAGTGCGAGCAGCACGAACAGGTGACACAGGATGCGACACAGGCGACACAGGACGAGACCCAGGCTCACGACGCTCTGTAAGACCGCCTGTCGGACTAGTGTAGGGAGAAGGACCAGGAAGTGGCGAGGCAGGTGGGAGC